TTAAAAATTCATAAAAAATCCAATTTTGATCGAAACCAGCTCAAACTTTCTACGCAACATAAGTACATGTATACGTATAAGGAAAAATGATTAAAATGGAGAATTCTCACCTTGTCATTTTTGGCAAAATTTGGCCAAGAACCCTGTACTATAGTACAGGGACTTTGATCTGATTTTGGAGCAACTTTTAAAATTCATAAAAAATCCAATTTTGATTTTAATCAGTTTAAACTTGCTACACAACATGATAACATGAATATGTATCAGAAAAAATTATTAAAATGTAGAATTTTTACCTAATCATTTTGGCAAAATTTACAGGGAGTTTGACCCGATTTTTGAGTAACTTTAAAAACTCATAAAAAATTCAATTTTGATGCCAATGAATTCAAAATTTTTATGCAACATAAAAACATGTGTATACATTTAAAAAGTCATTAAGATTAAAAACTCCCTCCTGGTCATTTTGACCTACTTTTATTTCTACTCTCTTTCTCTTTGATAGAAAGAATCTCTTAGATGATCTACCTTCATCTCTCTCCTCTTGCTCCAGTTTACGTTCTCTCATTATATCAATCAATTGTTTCTCCTCACTACCAGATGTGATTTATGACTGCCCTAGTCTTGAGACATTACTGGCCAGTGACAATCAGATATCATTCCTAAATGTTGACGGGTTTTTAAAGATGAGGTCTTTAATGACACTTGATGTTAGCAACAATGACATATCACAGGCACCACCCCAACTGGGACTGGTTGAATGGCTGAAGTGATTTCCTATAATTTAATTTTATGAAGGGGTACTTACTGTGATGGGACTCTATTATTTTGGAAACATTTATTGCATTAATATTATAGCCTTCCCATAAATTTTTGGTTATTCTACCAAATTTTTACAGGTTTAACAATTTTAATTTTTATTGTCTCTAAAGTTTTAATTATTTTGTGTATTAAAAGGAGACTTTTTTCTGTAGGCACTTGGAGTTAGGAGGTAATTCATTTCATAATCCAAGACCAGCTGTAGTGGCAGAAGGTACTGCTAGTTTACTGGAGTATCTCAGAGACAGGATACCTACTTAGTAATAGTACAGGTACACTTGTGTGTGTGTATACATGTACATGCATACTGTGTACATGCGTTATTGGAAACATTTAATGTATTAATATTCCATTTATTGTTATCATTAGGTTATGGTATACTGTTACTGTTCTTATGGGGTACCCAATGTATGCTCCTTTTCATCATGTGTAGAAAATTTGAACTGTTTCCGACAAATAATTTTTAAGTTACGAGCATTTTTAGAAATAGGCCAAATTTTGAAAAAGCAAAGGCTATGTGCATCCATGTACTGTACATGTACATGTCTACGTGCATTTTCTTTTACTTATTACATGATACATTGTTTATTGTTATCATTAGGCTATGGTATACTGTTACTGTTCCTATGGGGTACCCAATGTATGCTCCTTTTCATCAAAGAGGGTAAGTCATGTTACTTCTCATGATGTCATTCCATTCTTTCTCTCTTGATCCTCTCTCTCTTCCTCCTTCTACTTTCAATAGAAGAATTACTCTAACAACTAGATCAGTAGCATTGCTGAGGAAATGTCTGTTGCTAGAAATACTCGAGAATATTTTACATTTTTCTTTATTTTATTTTCTAATTTTTTAAAAGCAATTGCTTTGATAATCAACTACAAACAAAACAACAACAACAACAATAAACATTATCTAAATATTATTATATTTTTCTATTAGTTTATCAGCTAGTTTAATAGTTCTTCTAGTGCCTTCCTCTCTGAGTATATCTAAGAATATACTAAATACTTCTCCTTCCATACTAATGGAGCTTGAAATGATGTGGAGCAATTCATCCATTCTTTCACCAGTAGTTTGTCTAGTGTAGTCATCAGTTATTCCTCTCTTCTCTCTTGCATTGATAATATTGTGTTCTAACAACTTGTCAACTAAGAAGTGAAAATCAATCCCGCAATTCTTTATTAATGAAGTACATTCTGTCATTACTCTATGAGCAATATCAGATCTAAATGTACCTATTAATGATACAAATTCAGTGATTAGTGTGTTATTATGTTAATATCAACCATACCTTCTTCAGTCTCTCTCCTGGTTTGACTGATACTAGCAGTAGAGGAGCTTGAGCTAGTACCTTGTACTGTTGAAGGAAGAGGAGGAGGAGCAGTTCTCAGTGATCGATGAATGAATAATGTAACAGGATCAGCCACTCCATCCAGTGGTACAGAGTAATGTAGTGATGGTACAGCACCAGGTGATCCATATACTGATATCAGACAACATGGAGGAAGAGGATAATTAGCTTCACCAAAATTATCAACATCACAACGACGCAACTATTAATATACACATACCAACCATCAGTTATACATTATATTGCAGTACTTACTCTACAAGGCTTAAGGTGAGGCTCAATACTCCAACCAGTGAATGGTTTTTCTTGTAGACTCGCTAAATTCAATTCAAGATGATTAATCTCTGGCTTAAAACAAAAATAGACATTCTGTCCCAACTTAGCATGAGAATGCTTTTTATCAACATACTATACAACAAGTATATAAATGAATGGATTAATTTTAATACATTTACCTCAAGGAGAGCACTTAGTTTTTTAGCTGTAGTGAACATCACCAAATCCTCTACTCCATCTTCCTCATAATAAACCAGTCCAGCATATGTTTCAGCATCTTTCACTCCAGTGGGTTTCACTGCAATAATATAAACAAAATTAAGATCCTCCAGTACATTATATACTCACTAGTATCATCAGGACTAGCAGTTGCTCCTTC